ATTGCCCGGGCTCGAATCCTGGAAAAGAAACGGATATTTGTAAATGTATAATGTCTGTGCCGCATGGAAGCACTCTAAATATGTGGCGATCCGAAAGTCCTCTCGAGAAGTTGATGGTAGGGGCAGAGGGGGGAAGAACTTCGGACCCATTCCCCTCTCCACCGAAGTGCTCTCCATGGAGGTAGGAAAGGGAGGAGAGGCCATTCCGCGCTAGAAGTGAAGCACTGCTTTGAAGCTTGGGTCACCAGACGGGGTGTTCTTTGTTTACATTCAGAAGCTCGCTTGACAAGATTCTGATAGTATTTCGACACACGACAGTTCCATAGAAATCGAAAAAGGGACACTCTCGCATGAAAGAAACATTCATAGTGTAATGGATAATAGCAATTTGTATAGTTTACTGTCATTTACGCAAAAATCACATCTTGCTTATTTTTCGATAACTAACAACAGCGATTTTGATTATGAATTTGTTTTTATAAATTCTAAGCTGTTGCACTACAAAAATATAGATTTTAAGAAAAATTGCTAAAAGAGATCTGCCAAATTTATTTTCTAGAAGATTTGAAAAGTTTGAAACTTGATGGCTAAATGTAAATATAAAATTATGTATGTTAAAATATTTGTAATTAGGCACATAGGTCAGATTAAGTTTTTATTAATAGAGTAACGCATGCAAGGGCTATCTGCCTAAAGAGAGAGATGCCATCGTGGAGAAATTTTGAAGAAAAACTGACCTTTGAGTGGGTATTAAAAATAATACTTATAATTTTCATTCAAATTATATTCATATATATTTTATGTAAAACTTTCGGGTGTATGCTAAATTAGTGTAAATTACTTTACACGAAAAATATAGTGACTGCACAGAAATTAAAGATTTGCACATGCCGAAAATGATAAATAGGAAATATGTATGGGTATTTATGCATATGCTTGCAAAAAGCATGTATGTGCTTTTGACAAAATACTTAAATATTCATTAAATTATTTATAAATGTATTTGAAATGAAGAATTTATTCACTTATAAACAACTGTGAAAGTACTGTGAAGAAATCTAATGATTAAATGTATCTAATTTATAATGATCATAAATGTTATCTAAATATATAATAACCTTAATATTGAATTGTAACATAAATTGAAATCCTGTTGACAAATACGTTATGAAAACTATTTAAGCAAGAATTGTTCGTATTGGAAAGCAATCTGTTAAAAGGTATTGTAAAGCAAATGCTATGAGATGCGCACTTAAGAACGTAATAAAGAGTTTTGGAACATGTATTGTTGAATGAAGGGTAAAAAAAAAAAAAAAAAATCTGATAAGTATAATTAAAAGAATTATTCCCTTTACATTTTATAATAACTCAGTTACAAGTTTTAATAATACCTAAAAAAAAAACTTATTTTATTCCCTTTCAGAAATGTTCAGAGAAAGTCAAATACTATTTAATACCTATTTAATTATTAGGAATTAGCGAAATACTTATTTAAAGTATTTTCGCTAATTCCTAATAATTCTCTAATTTAAAATGAACCGAATAAGCATTAATTATAAATTAACTTACATTTTTCGATTTAAAAGAAGCCAAAAAATCATGTCATATTTAAGAAAGTATTTTAGGAAGAAGCTCTATAAATAGAAAAGAAATAATGCATAATTTTAATATTAATAATACAATAAACTTTGATCTTAATTTTTTTACCTTAACCGAATAAAATCGAATTACCGTAAATTTTTTTTCTAATGTAATTAACGAAAACTTGTGAAAATATTTCATTCAAATTAAACCAGTCTGAGAAAACTGTCCTGCGAAAAGTATAGCATTTAATTCCGTTCAGAATGAAATGTTGTTTAAAAATATGTTGTTTTCACATACTTAGGACTCTGAAGTGTTGTAGAAAAAGAAAATATATACATTTATATGTATATTTGCGACGTAATTACAAAATATTTACACCCGAACGCGTCAAGTCCCATAGAACTCAATGGTAAATGACCCAATGTTTTGGTCACCACGTAGGGATCGCCGGTGCTTCAGAGCAGGGTACGGAGAAACTTGTTTAGGGCGACTCCATCTTACTTCCTACCTCCATGGTGCTTTCCATCAAAACTGGGGAAAGAACTAAGCAAAGTCGTACTGTCACCTGTACAGTGCTCAAGACTCTTGCCAACGACAGGCGAAGTATTTCACTCCTTGCCGCGATGAATCTCCTGGTTTTGCTCTGATGTTACTGTCAGACAAGTGAGATAAGTCACAACAACAACAAGGTGGGTTGCACGTCTAACTTAGGGAATCATTCCGAAAGTTTGAAGGCACAGGTTAGTTCTTCATTTTATTAGATAATTCCAGACCGCTCTGTATTTCATTATAAAATTCATAAATACAAGTTATTTATTTAGTATACAAAAAACGTAGATAAATGGGAGTTCGACCTTTACGATTATCTGATAAACAAATTCATTAGAACGTTAGCCAATCATTCTGGCGTCCAAAACTCCCCAATGGCATTTAAAACTATAACAAAATAGTCATCATCTTCGTGAAACAGGATCAATTTCCTTAAATAGGAATCGAAGAAGTATTACGCAGTTGCATGGTATTTTGTACTGAGCCATTTTGCTGAAGCACAGAATCTTTCAGTGTAAGCATCGTAATTTTAATATTTCACTGCTTTTTTTTCTGCAGAAGGCAGGTCTAAAATTTTTATCAAATTTTTTTTATTTTTTAGTCCAAAGGGATTTCAGTCCCGAAGGACTATTGCTTTCTTTTGGCATTTTGCATCGGACTCATAAACGTCGGTTCACTTTTCAAACTGTTGCCACAAAATGTTAGAGTCCTGCATTATATTTGAAGAAATTAAATAATGAAAAATCTGCATAAATGATTGTCTATTTCTCGCATTGTGATAAAACAATGGTACATAGAGCCATCGAATTTTGAATGACGAAATCCTACTGCGAATATGGGCATCTGAAATCCCAAATTTGGAATTTGTTTTATTATAGATTTTATATTTTATAAAACTTTAACGAATTTTTGATTCACAAACTCAATGCTTTAAAAGCGAGAAATGGCAACGTTATATAGAAAAAAAATACTTTTATCTCCAGCTCGCGAGACTGTGTATATCGGAAATTCTAAAGATATGCTTAATTTAACATTATTTTGCGATATTGCTCTTGAACTGAATTTTATGGTTTAAGTGCAAACATGATATTTAATAAATAAAGGTAGCACTCAAAACGTTAAAAAAACGCCCCTTTGGACGTAATTTAAAAATCTGAAAATTTCAGATTTTTTTTTATTTTATTTATTTTATTTTATTTTATTTTTTTTTAATGCAAGAAAGAAATAGAGATAAACCGTTAATTTAAGATATCCTTCTTTATATTATGAAATCTTTAATAAAAATAAAAAGTATAATCCTTCAAAATATCTTCAAAAGAATATTATTTTCGCTCTCGCAAGGATAGGATTGAATTATTTAAATTATATCAAAGTACACGGGGTTATTTGTCGAAGGTGGTGTACCCTCGTAAAGGTTTTAAAAAGATAACTAAATCCCATCTCATGAAGAACGGTATGTCTAAGTTTGTTTGTTTATCACGTAAAATATAAAGCTGTGTGTATGTCTTCGTACATTTTTAATGCTCATATGATAACATAACAGGTCAGCAGATTGACGAAAAGGGCAACAAGGTCAGATGCTGGATATTAAATCAAAATAAGGATAATTTAGAGGATCAAATCTCCTGTCTCGCGGAGGAATACTTTTTTTACGTCAAACAACTTAACCCTTGGATTTATGGCAAGGTAAGACACATTTAAATCTCTATCTCTTTCATACATGTTTAAAATCTTTTCTTCAGTTTAAGATTAATATATATAAATATCTCATATGAACACTATATGACTTCCTTGTACGGCTTATGAAATTAAACACGTTTTTGCTGCACTTCATTTAAACTTATTTCCTCGAATTTCATTAGAGGTATATTTCTCATTCAATCAATTCAGTTCTCACTTCATGGCCAGGCAAAAATACAGAAAATCTTAAAATATTTTCGTTAACAATTGTAAAATTCAAAAAATCCTAAAACATACACAAATAAAATCAGTTAAAAAAATAATTATTACAATTAAAATTAAGGTTTTCTAGTTAAAAACAAGCAATTCGGCCAACGGGCAGAAAGATAAAATTTTCGGTGCACAAAATTGACTTCATTCACTATTATGCTAAGAGTTTCAAATGTAAATAAATGGCAGCCTCGTTAGGCTTAGCGCCACTGATAATTCTACAGTTGATAACTCTGCAACTATTGGATGCGAATTAACTAAAGACATGAAAACTTAACCAAAACATACGAACAACTTTTTAACTTTTAAAGCAAAAATTGCCAACATAAATGCCCGAAATTTGCCAACATATATAAGAATAACAAAACTGAGCTCATCGAGTCGGGTAACAGAGGAGGAATATATATATATATATACGTTTGGTGTGGCCAATTGCAAAAAAAGGGAGGTGCATAACTAGATATTATAGCAGTCCCATATACAAAATTTCAACTTTATATGGGTGGGCATTTTTGAGTTAGGCGAGATATATATGTTCGAACTACATGTTATAGCAGTCCTGTATACAAAATTTCAACGTTCTGAGGCTACTCGTTTTTGATTTATACGAGATACATACATACGTACGTACGTATGCACGTACAGACGTTATGAAAAATTTCATTTTCACCTCAGATGCAAAAATGTCCTGCGTAACTAGCAGGGACATCGTTTCCGACGAAAAGTGCTTCAATTAGGAAACTCTCTAATGGTAGGAGAAGGAGGAGCTAATTTCTAGGAAAATTTTTTCCTATCGATAAATCTGATAATCTCATTACACTCACCTGCATTCTTACGTATTTGCATCTAGCTGATAAAAGTTCGTGAACTTGTATTAAAACAATTTGTCTTTCACAGGAGACGATCTTCGAGACACCCGAAGATTATGTGGCTTACAGCTCAGGTCTAAAAGCAGCTTATGAGGTAAGCTGTAGATTTTAATTTAAGAAATCAAAATTAGTGATTTAAGTTACAAGCATAACAATCAAACCGAATTTTGCTGCTATACAAATATAGAGATTTATGCGTATGATTCAAGTTTATTTGCAGAAATATTGTAAAGGGAAAAAACTGAAGAATTAATTAAAAAAGTAAATGGGAAATAGTTTAATTGAATGCAAAACTAAAGTTCAAAATTTCATAAGTGTTTTATCTTGACATACGTAGTATACTTTAAAGCATAATTACAATTTTTTGAAGCATTTTTTTTTTAAATGTAGTCACATCACCTGCGCCACAAACTACAAAAACAATCATTTTCGTATTAAATTCTTGTTCACATTTTGGTGTTAATTTAAACTTTCTTTCTAGTTTTTCCCCGGAAATTATTTTTCCCAAATCCGTTTAACTTTCACGTAAGTACAGGTTTAAATTTAAAATTCATATTAGCTTACTCTTTTAACCTTGAAAGCTAACAGAATCTCCTTTCTTACTACTATAAATTAACCTCAAACACTTCTCCAAATAGTTTTAATAAAATCATTGTTATTGATTATCTCTATCAACCTTGACATTACAGTAATATTCTCTTATCACCCACTCTCTCTCAATTATGTACCCCATTACTACATCATATACCACTGATAAAACTGAAAATGCGCTCTGGATTGAAAGGCTGAAGTTATTGGAAGTAACACAACGTATAAAATAGCTACAAGTGTTTTTTCTCATTTAAAAGCTCATTATGTTAGAAACATCTGACTGCGAAATCAGTCCGAATAGGAAATTGAAAATATGCAAATCAAACGATGTTTGGCGATAAAGCAATTTTTTAGGGATTTTAAAAAAAATTTATTTCTCGTGAAAGTTTGCTGTTGTAATCAAATCTGTGAAGATGTTCGTAGTTGGCAACCAAAAATCCATTTTTAACGATTTATTTTTGGATTTTGGGTAAAATATTAGCAGCTAACTCTTCTACTGTTATATGTATGTAATAATAAAATTCTATAGTCAAGAATACACTTAAAATTCTAATTGTATGTTCTTTTCATTTTTAATGGCGACGTTGTTTTATTTGAAAGTACGTGGAATTAAATTCACAGCCCCGTAGTCCAAGTGTTTTTTCCCGCCTTTTCTACACGTACAGTTATAGAATGTTCTCGAACTGGATTGGCTGACGAGGCTGACGTCATTTCTTGGAAGCTCCGCCTTTCCAAAGGCTATAAAAGGACTCGCAAAAGAATATCGGGAGCTTTTCTTTAATGCAACGATGCAGTAAACTTCATACAAAAATTATTAGTAATTCTTTTTATTTACTCCGGATATCTGATTTTGTAACTGCTATCTCTCCTGAATAATAATAAATGGATCCTGTTTTTTAAACTTATCGTCTGATAATTTAAGCTTCGACTACATCTATATTTTTTTCAACGATCTATTTATTCTGGACAAAAGCTGATACATCACATGTATATTCTTTGATGACGACAATTGTACATATTTATTGAGGAAAATTAAAAGTTCAACCTTGAAAGATATTCTTTGTGAGTTCGATATATTGTCGCAGCCATTTTACTCACTAGTTTTAAGGGTTATCCAGCGGACTGGGAAGATACGCTGTAAAGCACAAAGCACAAATATCCTACACACCCGAATACAAAAGACGTGTGCGCGCAAACCCCATGTTATTTGCTGTAAAATTACTAACACATGCTTGTAAAATTGGTGCCTTATTATATTTCTGCTTTGTTAGAAACTTTGTGCTTTGTTAAAAACGGTTTTACGAAGTGTTAGACAGACGATACACTCCTTCGGCCATCTAAATTAATCGAAACGGAACGAAACATAAAAATATTTAAGAAAACTTAAATCATCTAAATTAATCGAAACGGAACGAAACATAACGAACGAAACATAAAAATATTTAAGAACGAAACCTATTCATTTCCCCCTGATGAGTTCTGAATTGTAGTTTCAATAAAAGGAGATTAATTTTTATTTGTATAATTTTGTATATTTTCCCTTTCGCATTTTTATTTTTCGAGATTGTTCTACTCTTTATTGAACTGATGAATTCTCTCTTTAATTGGATCAATTTTGATATTGTTTTAAACCTCTTAAACACGGTTGCAATTATTATATTATAGAGAATTTGCCATGCAAAAAACTAGAAGCATACTGGCAAACTATGCCAAAAGCAAGAACAAAATATGAAATTTCTTACATATGTACGATATGAAATATGAAAGAAAATTACTAGCTTTAATTTATCAATAGTCCGTTGCTCACTTTAATTTGGCTACGTCATTTCCTGAAATGTAAATTGCGTCATATCCTGTTCTGCTTTGCCAGACAAACGTTGTTCAAAACATTTCTAAATTGGGTTTCCCTCACAAGATAGTTATTTCCAACTTCAAGTCATCATTTCTACAAAATATCATGCACACACATATATGTATGTATACAGGGTGTTTTGACAAATCAGTTAAACAGAAATAGAATACACGGAGACGATGGATCACCATAACAATGCATAGTCGAAAACGCTTTTTTGGCGTGGTAGTGATGACACAAAAATGGAAGGGTACAAACAGTGTGACAGGACATGTTTTTTATGTTTACTGTTTGTTAGCAGAAACCAGCCAACTAAGAACAAAAATAAACAACGATCATCATTAAAGAAGGTGTTCGAAATTACGAACCTGGACCGTGATCTTCCTCACATCTTCGCCGCATGGGAGATCTGCATCACACTTGGAAGATGCCCTGGAAGATGCCTGACTCGCAGTTTCTGCATCACCGTACGGGTCGTAATTTAGGACACCTTTTTTGGATCACGATCGTTTGTTTTTGTTCTCATTTCTTGGTTTCGGCTGCACTAAGTATAATAAACATAGTTCTCACCCCGTTAGTGTTCTTCCTTTGTTGTGTTTTATGTCGTAACTACTGCCGACCATGGATTGCTATGTATTTTTCTATCGTCTAGGTGAACTTTCTCTCCTGACGTCTAGATGAACTTTCTCTCCTGAAAGTTTGTAACCGATTTCCTGAAACACCCTATATATGTAAACGAATGCATATGTAAACACCCCCCCCGGCTGTCAACGTAGAGAATTCTGCGAGGCTACTGGCTAGGTTCTGTACATAAGCAGTCTCGGCCACGGCGTATAAAATTTATGAACTTGATCGTTCTGGAAGTCCTGAGAAAGGTCACTTATTGGCCGGCCTCGGGATCTGGCACGTCCTGAGCGGTACGGCTCTTTGCCTCCCCGGTTCGCTGAATGATGTCCCACTGCGACGGGCAGCCCGAGCGGCTGGTAGGTAGTAAATTAACGACTAGTGCCGTCTAGGATTTCCTGGGCGGTGCGCCTCTCTCTCTGAGGGGCCAGAGCGGAGGTTGAACCTTCGCGCCTGGTTCCAAGAAGTGGGGGGGACCTGTAGTGCGATTGAGTTCGCGGAGCAGGGAATGCCCATATGTTGTCGTATATGTAAACAGAATAGCGCGGAGCCGATTGAACCATTTGATATTTGAATATTGCGTTACTACTATGCCCTCGTGGTCAACAAAGAGAACTGTAGAGAAAGTAAAGTTTATGCTATTTATAGTTACGCCATTTTATTGTCAAGTTGCAATGAAGTGTTAAATTTGAAACCTTAAACTCGGCCATCTTGACATAAGCAGGGGAATTAAGCACTTTTAATGAGAAACTGTAGAAATGCCTTTATATGACAACTACCCGCGTTTGCATATGAATTCGTGTAAACGGAGGCTATCTGCTTCACGTCATTTTCAAACAATAGGCTTGCAGTATGTTTGTATAAAGAACATTATTGGATGTATTTATTGAAAGTTTCGCGTATCTTTTTTATATATGACCTATGATCCTTGGTGTCCGCCGATAACATCGCGGTAAAAACATCGCGGACGAAAACGTCGCGGAGAAAACAACGCAAGACGAAAACGTCGCGCTACAAAACATCGTGGGAGAAAACATCGCAAAGAGAAAACATCGCAGTTCTAAAACATCGTGGTACAAAACATCGTCGTCGAAAATAAAGCGGTTCAAAAACATCGCAGTTTAAAAACATCGTCGTCGAAAATATCGTGGTAAAAAATAAAGTATCTACAAATCATCGCATGACGATAACTTCGCAGACATGCTTTTTTCAGGTTTTAATAATTGTAAATGGATATTCCCATAATGATTTGTGAGCGCAGTATGTAAAGAAGGATAATTTTTATTTCACATATTTTATTAACTAATAAATGTTTTGCTGAAAAAATAAGAAGGAAACTTAAGCATAGAAAATTAAATGCAAATTATAGATTATACTTTTCATGAAAAACTACCAGTAAAAACTTTATAAAAATGATTTATTAATGGCCTTTGTTAGTTAACTATGTCGGTTTAAAATTCTATTAAGTGCTATAAGTTGCATTAATTTTCTATGCTTAAGTTTCCTTCTTGTTTTTCTCAGCAAAAATTTATTAGTTAATAAAAAATATGAAAGTAAAAATTATCCTTCTTTCCATCTTGCGCTCACAAATCATTATGGGAATATCCATTTACAGTTATTAAAGCATGTCTGAAAGAAGCATGTCTGCGATGTTATCGTCATGCGATGATTTGTAGATACTTTATTTTTTACCACGATATTTTCGACGACGATGTTTTTAAACTGCGAAGTTTTTGAACCGCTTTATTTTCGACGACGATGTTTTGTAGCACGATGTTTTAGAACTGCGATGTTTTCTCGTTGCGATGTTTTTTCCCACGATGTTTTGTAGCACGACGTTTTTGCCTTGCATTGTTTTCTCCGCGACGTTTTCGTCCGCGATGTTTTTGCCGCGATGTTTTCGGCTGTAACCATGATCCTTTGTACATCCTTTGTCAGTTTCAGAACAAAGGTCGTAAAAAAAATAGAAAATTGCATTTACCAAGTAATGATTCTAGCTGCTTTCAAACTAATCCCCCTGGTTATCTATACACAACTACATACCAATGTTTTTGGAGGCAAGCGGGGAAATCTTCAATTGCGATGCTTGCAAGCTCCTTTCTCCCAGCCCGTTGGATGTCTGCAATAATCCAGATGAAGCTTTTCATTTTAGTCACCTTTTCATTCACGGAAACAAGAAAAAAATCACAATAATCTTTGACACAAATGTGGGATCAAGTCTAGCTCTATCCAATAAGTTAACCAGAAATTCTTCGTCTTTCCTCTTTCTGTTAGTGAGGGACAATTTTTGCATTAAGTTTCTGTTTCCCTAAATCTTCGCGTAAAATCTTATGACACACATCACGATTCAAATTCAGCTCTTCTGATATCATACGCACAGTTACACGACAGTCTTCTTGCAATAACTGCCTTGCACGCTCCACATTACCATCGATATGTGCTGTGGACGGGAGACCAGCTCTGGGATCCTCTTGCACTGGCATTCTGCCTTCCCGAAACCTTTTGGCCCAAGGCGATATTTTCCGGAGTACCTTTGCAACTTAATGCAATTACCTCCACAACTTCGTTAAGAAAACTGAAGTAATTAAGAAAGAGCATTGGCTAAAGGGAAGTGATCAAAACCATTAAGGGCTTACTGTGAAAGAAATGGATAAGAAGTCCACGCTAGGGACGAGAAATTCTTTCTTCTTTCAACTTGTTATCCAAGATTGAAAGAGAGAGAGGTGATGATTAAAGGCTCCTGAATGCATTGCATTAATGGAATCGGAAAGGTTGGAAGACAATCAGCCGGGAAACATAATTTTCCAGGGCTTGGGAAAGGTATATTACGAAACCCTTTGTGACACTGGAAAACACGACTTCTTGAAAATGCCTCGCCTGCATATGCTTGCTTAATCATGCTCCAGGTTACACTAGGGGTTTTTCTTGCTTAATGCAGAACTTAGTGTTCACTCTTTGCTCACAATCAGCATCCATTGCGTCACCTTAACGAATGCGACAACAATTCGAACAGTGTGTTGCTAAGCACAACCCTACCCCCTAGTAAGTTTGCCCAGAAACATGCCCAAGGTCATGTCAATTAATAACACGTACCAAGTAACATAAAAATAACATTTGATCCTTTTTTAGTACTGTGACCTCAAAAATAAAAAATATGGAACTTTCTGATAAAGGATGTATTATGTCTGTCGTCTTTGAGCCACCTTGTGTATAAGCAGTGTAAACCATGTTCTTGCATTTTTAACTTAAATGTCGAATTTTGGATTACTACCATCTATCATTTATAAATTCTGTATACGAAATCAAGGTAATTAATTCATGCATTTTCCTTACTTTTTCTCTTAGGGCTACCAAAAATGGAGCAAAGAAACACGACAAGAGCCTAAGCTTCCAGGATTGAACTATACACCGAAGCAGTTGTTTTGGATAAATGCAGCAAATGTAAATCTTTTGTGTTTCTTAAAGCAGGCAATACCTGCTTATTAATTATATGCTTATTATTAAGATATAGATAAGATAGTATATAAATGTACTACTTCTGGGAAATGTATTATGTACTTCCGGGGTTTGAAATAAACACCGGACGACGTATAAAGTTTCAGAAAAGTATATCTTTTGCAGTATTTATGTCTTAGAACGAAATGAATGAAAGGTAAGCGAATAATGATTTATGAGCTCATAATCTGGTCATATCAGTTATTTGTAATTATGATCTTTACAAAATCTTATAATCTGTTCAACTCAATTTGCGTGCGAGCAGAATATGTATAAGATCTAATTCTCTTAGGCCACATAAACTAATCTAGATCCTACTAATGAACCTGGCGACTTTTCGCGCAGTCAGTTTTCGCATTCTCTTAGGCCACATAAACTAATCTAGATCCTACTAATGAACCTGGCGACTTTTCGCGCAGTCAGTTTTCGCATTCTCTTAGGCCACATAAACTAATCTAGATCCTACTAATGAACCTGGCGACTTTTCGCGCAGTCAGTTTTCGCATTCTCTTAGGCCACATAAACTAATCTAGATCCTACTAATGAACCTGGCGACTTTTCGCGCAGTCTTTTCGCGCAGTCAGTTTTCGCGTTCTCTTAGGCCACATAAACTAATCTAGATCCTACTAATGAACCTGGCGACTTTTCGCGCAGTCTTTTCGCGCAATCAGTTTTCGCGTTCTCTTAGGCCACATAAACTAATCTAGATCCTACTAATGAACCTGGCGACTTTTCGCGCAGTCAGTTTTCGCGTTCTCTTAGGCCACATAAACTAATCTAGATCCTACTAATGAACCTGGCGACTTTTCGCGTGAAATAAAACCAGCGCAGAAGAAGGATGAAAATAACTCTAATTGTCAACTATGAACAGAAAGGCACGTTCTTCGTGCTTTACAATAACACAGACAATTTGTGGTGGAAACTAAGAATTTGTAACATGTAAATCTCAAGTCTAAAAGATTAGTGCTGGCTTAGGACCTTAAGTTACGGCTGGTAAGGTTGACTTGACAAACCTAACCGGCCTGTTAATTTATTCAAATGGCCAAAAGGCGTATCAACAACACCGCGTAACCGCAAGGTCAAAAACGAAACGTGCGCAGGCTAGTGAAAACACGCTCTGAATGAACTCCAAGTTTCACCCATTTAACTATTCACTTCACTCAACTCAAAATTAGCATCCTGTCGAGGAAATGCGAGGGGAAGTTGAGGAGCTCAGGAAAGATATAATTCGTTATTTAAAATAAGGGAAACCCTACGTGTAAAAACAACTGATGGGCCGGAATTTGTTTTTACGAAATGCAGTTTTTCGGTTTAAAATACTAAAATATGTTTTAACTAAATTTAAATTATTAAATATTTACCAAAACATGCATAAACAGTAATAATAATAATAACGTAAAGAGTAAAATTCATGTTTATAGTTATTTTCTACTTGGAATCTGAAGTTTGGCACTTTGAAAAGCTTCTAGTCCTTAAATTTTGTAATTTAAGCTTGTTGACAGCTAAATATCAAATTTTCAGTTTGACATTTATTCCATACAATTGTAATCAATCAATCAATCAGACAAATTATTGCTGTTTCCAGCTCACGAAGAGTTGCGTATAAGCACATGACTTTAAAAAATTCTGAAGTTGTAGCCGGACTAGTGAAGTGATGAAAAAGAAGGCCTAAAGCATGGCAGGCGTAGAGGGAGGTGTCAGTCATGAGAAGTAGGCGTGTCTACTAACCAGAGCAGGAACGCAGAGTCCGGAGGGCGGTGCTATCCCCTGAAGCCCGAGCACACTAGAAATTAAGCAAAGTTAACATCAAGTTCATCATGCAATAAGAAATAGGAGAAAAATTACAAGTCCATTTTTATCATCTGTTCAACCATTCCCAGGGCAAGTAATACTTTGTCCTGCGGCGAATCAATTTTCTTACATTTTTCAACAAATTCTAGGAATTTGACTTGCAATCTTCTGAAGGTTTTTATCCATCGCGAAATCCACTTTAGCTGGAGTACTAGCATCTGAGTGGGAGTCTGATGGCATACTATTTTCTTTCTGTATCTTTCTGTAATGGTATTTCAGTCAGCGGAGACAAATTCTCAGACTGCGACTTCCGCGCTGAAATCCTTTTCTTCCTGTCAGAGACAACACGAATTTTTGGTCTAAATTCGCATAACTTCGAAGTAGCAATATGATCCTTTTTACAGTTCGCGCAAGTAGGTTTCAGTTCTTTGGCTAATTTGCATGTGTAGGTCAGGTGTCCCTGCCCACACTTGAGACATCTTGGCGAATTGTTACAAAACATCTGACCGTGTCCATATCGTTGACATCTGAAGCAAATCATGTTGCTTAGATTGCATCTGTATCTTCTAAACTTGAAAAACTTCTAAAAAGTTCCAGCAGAGTTTTCTTTCTGTAGATGTTTCTACTCACATCATTCCTCTTGAATGATGCAAAGAAAACTGGTAGCTTCATTTCTTTTCCATCAATTTTTCTTGGTAAACTGCGTTACGTTTAATACAGGAAATCCATCTTTAACCAACTCAGCCTTGATTTCTTCCACAGACGAGTCGTCAGGCAATCCGCGAATAACCACTTTCAGCGGTGTATCTTTCTTAGGGCGAAAGATGCTAAATTGCACTTCATCTTTCATTAGCACAGCTAGTACTCTATCTCTTTGATCGGCTGTATTAAAAATCAGAGTGATTATGTTGCGTAAACTATTAAATAACTTAATTTTAGCTTCAAAAACTATGAAACTATGAAAACTTAGGAAGCACTTCCGCAGAGAACCCGGTAAATGTAAACGTCGCCAACTTTGGCGATAATAGTTCAAACCTGGTAACCTAGCTAATTCATCCTATTCGCTTATGCGAAGGTTGTCGTTGTTCGCATTTGGAGATTTATATTATTTTTCTCTTATTTATTATTATTTTTTCTGAATTTTTTAACAACGAATAGATAGAAATATTTTCGCATAATTAAAAAAGTTTTCGTCGAAAGATGCCGGTTCTCGGGTCGTCAGTTCGGGATCAAAGGAAGAAATTATGGCGGGAGGGGTGAATGCTAATTTGTAACATGGCTGTTCACGTTATGTTCTTAATTATTAACAGCTGTAAACACGCAGAACCATGAGGTTTCCAACCCCTATAATAATTTTAAAATGTATAAAGTTCTAGTTTTATTAAAAATGCTACTGAAGAAAATTTGATTACTGTTGAAGGTTATTTGTATTGTGAAATATATTATGAAAAAGGATAGGTATTTGTTTCAACGTAAAATGCTTTAAGCTGTATGCAAGTAACTTGAAAAAGAAAATACTTAAAACTATGTAATATGGATATATTAAATGTCATACATTCATTAATTTATTACATGGGCACCGAAATACATCAATCAACAGGCAAAGTACTTAATAGTGAAAAAAGACATTTGTAATAGAAATATTAGTATTCTATATGAATTAGAGAAAATACATATAAGTATATTGTAAACGTAAGTATAAGAATACTAATTGTTATTTTTTAAATGAATTTTTACTTCCCGTTATGTTTAATACATTGTTTTCTGTGCTAACTTGAATTTAATAGAAATTTATTTACGTATATCACGTTTAACCTGTTAGTTTTATATCTACATACTTATTATCTGTGAATTTTTACTACCATTGTCTGTTAACTTGAATTTACATCACTAAAAACCACGTTTACAAAATATCACGCTTACGGCTCGGCTCATCCTCGATGAGCCGCGAGCTTGGCGAGTAAAACTGCAACGGCGCCAAAGGGTTCTTTCCCGAAGCGCCAACGGGTTCTCTGCGGATGAAAACCCAAAACTTAGAATGCTGGACGAAACTTGAGAATAAATAAATAAGTACAATCTCGACTTTTCCTTTTGTTTATTAATTTTGTTTTTCCATACACGCGTAGAAAATACGTATATTTTTATGTAAATAACTACATTGACTACTTAATTGCACTTGACTATTAACTCTCTTACTTTCTCTTAATGGTGCTTCGATTTTGCAAAAGTTTATAGCTTTGGAGTAAAGTGACTAGAAACTCTTTATCACAGAGCATTTTAATCTATCATTTGAGTTCTTTTTTATTGGTTTTCAACTGTGAGAGAAAACTTCATGTATAAATAAATATACATCCGAATAAAGCGAGTATTCTCATTTTAAAAATTTGTATTTGGCGAGATTTATCTTTCGACATGTAGAAATAAAACTATTCAACATATTGTAGAATCTGTCTACCTATTGTACTACTGTATACGCTTGTGCAATGTCCGCGGCATTCCAACTTTGCAGATGAAATTTATGTAAAAAAGTGACCCTCACAATGTCCGCATCCCAAAAACTAAGGAATTTCTTACTTTAAAATATAGTTTTTTTTAACACATTAAAGGCGGGGGATCTTGACGAAAGTAGCCCACCAGCGGCCGAGCGGTAACGTCGCTGAACACTGGTAGTTCGGTCCGAGGTTCGAATCCCGCGAACGGGCTGGCTAAAAAAGTTTATTTAAACTCTTAAAACTACGAGAAATATTAAAAAAGAACTAAACACTCATTACAAAAAATGTTTTAAAGTACATGTTTATGAGGAGAATCTAGTATTTTTAATGAGTGTGATAATGTTGATAATACTCGCCACGGTGAAGAGGTGCATTGCAAAACTCGCATTGGAAGCAAGTCAAATTTCTTTTTTTATGGGCCGCACAAACTACGCAGTTTCGTTGGGTATATAGCTTTTTGCCTTTATTTTCTATCCGAATTAATTTGTGCTTTTTGATGTCTAGTGAAAGACGTCCAGGCGGATAAAATTTATATCGTGGATTCCGTGGTGCCGAGTTCGATATACCAGGTTGTGGCTCCCTCAAATCGTCTGCATATATATCTTTATTTTCACGTGAAACCATATTGAAGGATTTCAAAATTTACTGTAAGTAGAATTTGAACAACCGAACAGCTTCGAACCACAAAACATACTAAATGCAAAGTGGCGCATGGATTGCGCAATGTGGTTGATGAGTCGAGATAAACGCGCAAGCTGCAGTCGAGCAAACTACAGTCGAGATTAAATGCGCAAGCTACAGTCGAGTTAAATCGTATTACTACGACTTCCGCCTTTAATGCGTTAACATCGGCCTATTCCCCTTTAGTCAATAAGCATCTTTGAAGAAACAATATGCATTTGTTTCGTCTTTGGTTGGCGCCAGGATGGCAAGCAGAGACTCTCCTTGCATTCTGGTGCAGTTGTTATTTAGTCGTAATATCGACGCAAGCAAACGCTAAAATAATTTCATATTTGTATACCTTAACACGTTGAGCGCGGCGCCGAATTTGCTGTCCTTTCCGTTCAGCCGACAGCGAGCTAAGCCGTATTTTTGTTTAGAATGTTTCAATACATTTCATTTAAACTAAATTTGATCGCATTTTCATTGAGACTATATTTATTTTTTAACTTTAATACTGCTGGTTCCTAGGAACCGACGCCAGCCAAACGAAAATTCCAATGCCGGTCCCTAAGAACCGACGCCGGCCACACTGAAAGCTCACTGCCGGTCCCCAGGGACCGGCGCCGGGCTCAACGTGTTAAAGACTGGCATATTATCTTTTGAAAGATCCAAATTGAATACTCGTAAAAAGAAATTCATCTTTCAAGCTTTATTTCATGTAAGAAACTAACTGAAAGTTAATATGTTTTAACAATTAATGGACTGTGAAATCAACAATTGCCTCATTCTCTAACACACATAGTATTCTGATTTCTAAAGCATTGCATTAATAAAATTTCAGGTTTGGTGCGAGAGAGAAAAAGAATTCTATGGTCAACGTCACTTTTCCGGTGAGACATATCCGAATCGCTATAAGTAAGTGAAGTATTAAAATCTTTAATTTAAATAGCAAAGTTAATAACTAGAAAGGCCGCCCAACCGGCATAGTCGCTGACTGCCGTGCCGAAGCGCCCGACTTCGAATACTGGAAAAGGCATGAATGTTTGTAAATGTGTATTGTCCGTTCGGCATAGAGGCATACTAAATATGCCGCGAACCGAATGTCCTCTCAAGAGATTGTGGTAGAGAAAGAGTGGTGGCAGACCCTCGGACCCGCCACTTCGGGGTGCTGTCCATCAAAATTGAAGGCGGAACCGAGCTAAATCGCACTGTCACCTGTAAGGTTCTCAAGGCTGTTGCCAACGACAGGCGTAACTTGCGTTCCTTGCCACGAGCAATGTCATAAGCTTGGGCTAACTATGTAAGTCATATTAGTGATCATTAGTCAATAACAACAACAATAATATTTAGAAATGTGTGTTATTATGAAACGTTTCGCATAAATATCTAATGAGAAATTTAAATACCTCGAAAATCGATATTTTGACTTGTGATATATCATTTCACAGTATTGTGATATAACTCATTTAACTAATACTAACATCAGAACAAGTCCACGAACTTTATCCGGGCAAGGAAGACAGGTTTGCGTTTGCCGCTGGAATTGGCCTTGAGCACCGTTATGGATGACAGCATCAATTTGCTCAGTTTCGGCATAGGCTTGAAGAAGAATCCCCTAGCGGACGGGCCCAAGGATCTTCCGCACATCTTCCTTTACCACTAAACTACTCTACATAACTTTTGAATCGTCGTATATTTTGCCGCAAATATAATATACTTTACAAATATCCGAGCTTTCTCCGGCATTCGAACTCATTCCCAAAGATATGACAGCAAGCAGTGCAGATCATAGCTCTAGAATCAATAATGATAGGTTTCTCCTTTTTCTTTTCGAGGAAGGGGGATAAATAAATTTATCAATCTTGTTGCCAGCATATAAACACAAATTAAATTTTAAAATGTACACATATAAATAAAATATCATTTCGGTGACAAGTGATTTCCACGTTTGCTCCTGTTATTGCTCTACAAACCTCAAGGAGATATCTGACATTGATGAAAGACATTTTTATTAAAGTTTTCAGTAACTTTTTATCATTTTAGTTCAAAGCTTATAGTTTTAGCTTCCCAAAAGTACTTTTCTTTCATTTTTTCGGTCATTAGAAGCAGTGTTATGGCTGTTCTTGTTCTACGTCGTGAATCACAAGTGGCCATTTAAAAACATTTACTGGCTGTTAAAAGACTGGAAGTTGGTGTTTACTGGGATTCTAAGCACCTTTAAAATGAGAAATTTTCATTTGAACACTTTTGAGATGTTCAAAGGAAAGACTTTTGAATCTTCCTATCATTTTTCCCCCGCACGGGGGGGGCTAGTTTGTCTTTTTGCGACACTAGCCGCTCTTAAGGCCGGAAGTGGAGGCACCTAATAGGCGGCCAACGTTACGAGGGACGGACAGATACAACCATGCCTTCTCCGGAATTCTAACCCAGGCCCTTTGGTATCGTAGTCGGATCCCCTAACCACGGTACCATCTAGTCAGCCACTTTCTATCATATGCTCGTGAACAAGATTAGATTTGAAATTTCAGTTTCATGTTTAATAGCATTTTCCTATTCTACTTTTTTTTACATTTTGAGCTTACTTACTTACTTAGCACCAGTTGAATTGCCATACCGCCTGTTATATGACTATCGCCTGTTATGTGACTATTTGTACTCAATTGCTAGAGCATTCTATTATCGCTAAGCCTAACCAAAAATCTTGATTCTTTAGTGTACTTGCTATTAATCAGTGCTTTTCCCTCATCTCTGCTTTTTTAATATTTTCATTTTAAATATTTTACGCTCATGAAATGTGCAGTCTGCCCCTATAGAGGCATTTTTTTACTGCTGCTTTTCGAAAATGTTCCCAGTGCGACGTCCGAAGGGACAGCGTCCGAAGGGAGCTCGTGAAGGTGGATATTTTTTGGTAAAGGGGAAAAAATTAGCATTTTCGTCGATAGAGGGCGCTGCAGAGACGCACTGATAAGAATATGTAAATCAGAGTCTTATGCATTGCGAGTTTTATGATTAAAAGCCCATTTCTAATTTTTCCTCCTACCTGCTTTTTAAGTTTTAATGAGTAGTTAAGCGTTATGAGTGAAGATCTTCTTTTACCTCAGTCAAGAATCGCCGACTTAGCTTTAGAACAGTTTCGTACACAGAAGGGATGGAAGAAAGGTTCAAACTCGTTTTTCATTGCATGAAGCAGTCAACACCCAACTGCAGAACCTGCCCAAATGAGAACCCACGTGCCTATACTGAGGAGCCCCTACATTCACCACGTTTAACTGTTCGATGTAGTTTCACTGCGTCCATTATTATGGCCCTTTTTTTCTTTGAAGACTGTCTGTAAGAGCTGCTCAATTACTGGAAAACGCTACTTGCAGCTGCTGGAGAAAGTGATACCGCATTTACTGGAATATAATGTCCTTGACACAGTGGCATTCATACAAGATGGGGCACCTCTTCATATCACAACCGAAGTGAAGACGTTCCTAAGAACTTTCACCGAAGAGCGATTAATTAGCCGTGGCTGTAGAAATGAGTGGCCCCCCTCGCTCGCCGGATTTAATACCACTTGATTTTTGGCTTTCGGGTTATGTCAAGTCCAGAGCGTACCATAATAAGACATCTTCTTTGGTCCAGTCAAAGGACGTTCGTCACGAAATCTCCTGCATCCATTTAGATATGCTACATGCTGCAGTTAATGGTGTTGTGATTCGCTTGCAAACAGTGATTTGTGGTGGTGGCAGACACATAGAATAAAAGTGATATGCTTGTAAATATTTGCCTGTATGCAAATAAATATAGTTTTTCTTGAACATTGTGATTTCCTGACGTACAACGCCCTCTAACGACGAAAATTTTAGCTATTTTTTTTCCTTTACCCAAAAAAATCCTCCCTTCACGAGAATAACTTTTTCGCAAACGCTTTCACTTCTACCAATTCCTTCAACTTTTATGATTTTTAAAGTATGTGTAGATTTATGAGACACCCTATATCTGTCTATCTATGTATGTATATATATGTGTGTGTGTGTTAGCGTGAAAGACCGAAATTGGAGAATGTTGACTTTCACCGGAAAATGTCAACATTCACCAAATACGTTGGTGAAAGATCGAGTATTGCATTACATTCTGGTACATTCGGACCCTCACCGGTGTATGTCGACAATCACAGATATGCTCTGGTGTAGGTCGAAAAGAGAGGAGTATATGTACACGCTGTCATTGCAAAAGGAAGTGTTTCACAAATAAATGCAGTTGTAAAAGCAAGGGCCTCTTGTGCAATTGAAAGTGTCATAAGTTTAAGTTTTTGCAATAAATAAGATTTGAATCACGTAATTTAGTAAGTTTTTAACTTCTATTATTTTCCTTTCTCATTTTGAATGTACAGTGTGTTTCAAGTTCTTATGTTCTTAAGTTCTTATTTTAAGTCTCAAGTGCGTTTTTTCGAGACCGAATTACGGAGAAGAAAATATAATATTCTTATGTGTTCAACATTCACCATTAGTAGATGGTGAATGTCGACATTTACCGGTGTAAGTCAGAAATAAGAGTATTTGGAAAATATTTCGGACATACAACAAGCGACTATGTGAAAGTTGATATTCACCGGTGAATGTCGACATTCTCCAGATTTCGGTGTTTCACCGTAACATATGTTTATATATATATATATATATTTGAAGAAGTTGCAATCTTTATTTTCACGCGTATGAAGCCATCTTAGTAGACATTTATCCAGTTAAAATGAAATACGGTAAATCCTATGTACAGTCATTTTAAAAGTAAGACGTAGGAATTTTAAATAGCATAAGCGGCGTAGAGCTCTTTGCAGGGTAGAAGTTAAGGAAAAGAATGACGTAATTAACTCGCCAGCGATATTTATACTGTAATAATTGTAGAGATAAGCTACGATTGATTAATTTTAGTTTTGGTTACTCTTTTCAAGTAGCGTTATATAACACAGAAAGATCTCGAATTTGGGAGAACAGATGAATTTAGAGAAAGAGCAACAAATCTAGAATAGTTAAATTTTGAGGTCGCCAATTATTCTTAAAGCATCTATCGTATTTTGTTACATCTTAACACACACACACACACACACATATATATATATAGCAGAAAGAGGTCTTGAATTCAGGTATGTTTTTCATTTCATATTTTCGTAGTTATAAATTTTGGTCATAAACTGACCCAATATTAATCTTTTATTTTCTTTCTAAAACATGATTGCTGTTACTGCTTTTTTAAAAGTTATAACTTTTCAGACTAGAAGGTTCACCCATAAAATTCGTGAATATATTGACTAATAGCAATTTCGCTGTTTATTTTAATGCCGTAAATTTGCCTTACCAGGCTTCTTGTATAGTTTTTCCTGCATAAATTAAGTATTTCTCTTATACTTGTTAACAGCGGACGCGTCGGGAAATGGAACAGGGAAATTGAGACCCGGATAAAATCAATATTGGGACCTTTTTAATAAAAAATATATTAGCTAACAGTCTCAATGTACTGTTCGACGAAACGCGTTCTGGAATTTTTCAGAGTTCGAGTGTCACAATGCATTTTGCTTGAAAAGTCCATGATGATATTCGAATTAGGCTAATTAATATGTTTTGAGATACCTAATACTTTATTTTACATACATATTAACTTTTAAATTTGAATGAAGTTAAGCATTCACCTTTTGCTATTTTTCTTAATTAATATTTCATACATATTATGTTTTCACATTTTGCATTATAGTTGGATCTTTACTTTGTGTTTATACTTTTTTGCAAAGGAACGAAGTATCACTTTAGTTCATAGGCTATAGCTAGAAAAATTTACTTTTTAATTATATATAATTGCATACGTTCGATTATGTATATATTTCTCTCTCTCTTTCTCTGTCTATAATCTGTAGAAACTGTGTGTGACTTTTTTTTTCAGGGTATTAGCGGCAGTGGTTAGCATTCCAGCGTTTGCTGAAGACTTTGGGTGTGTGCGCCGAAAAACACAGTGTCAGATTTGGTAGGGATGTCCTACATATATTTACGATCAAGAATTCATATTGCAATTATATATATCCCAGGAATAACTTTATAATATATTTGAGTTATTGATTTATAGTTGTAACTCATGATGCCACCTTGATTACATTGGTATAACAGATACCATTTCTAAACCGATGTGAATCTGTAAACAATTTCTTGAATTTAAATAAAATCTTGAAGGCTTTCCTGGGATGATTTTTTGATGTCTTTTAATGTGAATCTAATTGCGACAGTATCTACGTTTATCGCTATGTATATATTAAGCATAAAAGATAAAGGATTAAAGATAAAAAAGATAAAGGATTAAAAGATAAAGGATTAAAGATAAAAAAGATAAAGGATTAAAAGATAAAAAGATAAAGGATTAAAGATAAAAGGATAAAGAATTAAAAGATAAAAGGATAAAGGATAAAAAGATAAAAAGATGAAGAATTAAAAGATTAGGAGTTCGTTTCGTAATTTTTCTGCAAAATATCATGCCAGGTAAACTCAATAATAAGACACTACTCATTTTACGAATGTTATAGTAAAAAACTTCATTGTATGTGGGAGTTCTTGGAAAATATTCCTCACGACGATTCTAAACAGATAATGTTTTACAATTTTATTTGCATACACAGAGCATATAGATTCGTTGCAACATCCATGTTTATACTGGATAACCTCCAAAAGCACTTGCCGCTAAACTGTGAAGTTTAGAAAGTGTGACTTGGAAGATGGTGAAAATTTACTTAAGCCAATAGCAGAGGGCTTAAAAAAAAAAAAAAAAAAAAAAAAAAAAAAAAAGACGGGAACATAACCAAAGAGCTTCTAAAAGCCCAACTATACCAGCAGTTTTGAAGCATTCAGATTTAACGGGTCACTGAACTCACAACCTTGAATCTTGCGAACTACTAAATAAATAAAAAATAAAATAAAAGTATAGGTACATAATACGGATAAGATAATTATCCTAAGAGTTTTAAACATTAATATCAAATAAAATGCATTTTAATTCATATTATTACGAATTTTGTACATGCATAAATAATTTTAGTGAAATTATACGTAAATTTCAGTATGTCTCGCTTAATATAGCATGAAAGGTCTCGAGAAGTATCGCCGGAAAAACAAAGTTACAGGGGTAAGTCCATTTCACATTGAAGGAAACGCCTAGCGTCAAGCTGGCCATGGTTTTTGGCAAATAAATTTTGTCGCCAAACTTGGCAATTATTTGGCTAAATTTTGGTCCGATTCCTGATGGTCCTATCTCTATGTAACTATAACTGTATCCGGCCCTATGTATTTCTAACAATGTATGCCTTGCAGCAATTTCGAGAAATTAAATGTACGAGAAATTTCTCGGCCTTCGGGGAAAACTATACAAGAGCGGAATGTGCGTTAGTTTTCAGTTAATTCTTACTTATGTTTCTCTGAGTTAGACACGTGTTAAGAGCTTTTGTATTAAAAAGCTGTAATACAGTATCTCAGGATCATCACTGGAGTCCATAACTGTGTGAGAAATCAGTTTCTACGTGAAGACCAACGAAAAACAGGCTTGTTGCATTTTCGAAAAACGCAACGAAAACTAGACTCGTTCATAATTAACGTAATGGCTATTAATTATGAATATCTCAAGTACTTTAATGGTTTTCCACTATGAGGTACTGAATGAAGATAAATTCCTGTGACCACTTGCAGCTGAAGTGATGACTCAAAATTTTCCTGCCTACGTTTTCCTGCTTATTTGGTATTCTGTGTTCTCAAAAGATGACCGTCTTTTAAATTCAGTTATTGTCAGCATACTATGCAAACGAAACATGAAGACAATTCCTAAATTTCTTCATGGAGTTCTAAAGTATTCTTGCGGACCATTAGTAGACCGCGGACCATCGGTTGGCGACCGCTGCTATATACTAATCGGCAAAATTGCTTGACGATGCAATGAACTTCCTTAGTAAACTTGTCTGCACTCTGCGATTTTTGGATCTTCGTTACGGACCGGAGTTCAAGTGTAAGCATCCAAAGTTGGTTCATAAGAGTCCGGCCATCTAAACGTTACAATGTTAACTAGACTAAAAACAAAAAAAAAAAATCTGAAATGTTTCAGATTTTAAATTACGTCCAAAGGGGCGTTTTTTTAACATTTTGTGTGTTACCTTTCTTTATTAAATATCATGTTCCTCGCACTTAAACCATAAGATCCAGTGCAACAGCAATATCGCAAAATAGTTTTAAAACGAGCATATCTTTAGAATTTCCGATACAGAGACTCACGCGCTGGAGATAAAAATGTTTTTTCTGCACAACGTTGCCATTGCTCGCTTTGAAATCCTTGAGTTTGTTAATCAAAAATTCGTCAAAGTTTTAAAAAATAGGAAATCGATCATAAAAAAAATTTCAAATTTCAAATTTGGTCTTCCACATGCTCATATTCGTTGGAGGATTACGTTATTCAAAATTCGATGACTCTATGTACCGTTGTTTTATGACAATACGAGAAATATACATACATTTATGCAGATTTTCATTATTTAATTTCTTCAAATATAATGCAGGACTCTAACATTTTATGGCAACAGTTTGAAAAGTGAACCGACATTTATCCGTCCGACGCAAAATGCCAAAACGAAACTAATAGTCCTTCGGGATTCAAATCCCTTTGGACTAAAAACCTTTTCAAAATTGAACGAGAGCTTCTAAGATATAACGGCCACTTGCGTTGTTATTATTATTGTATTTACCATGGATTTTAAAAACTGCACTTGAATGATGAAACGTCTTCTATAAATTTCATCAAGAACAAGGAATTTATTCAGTCTGAAAGAGGTGCACGATAAATCATAAAATGGATTGTTTTTTTCCGATTTGTTTGGCCAGTTGTTTAGATTACATTAAAAATTGCTAATTTTAATAATATCTGTTGTTATTTTATCACTTGGATTTTTGACGATATCTGAATCCGGTTCCGAAAAGAGAACACTACCTTTTTTGTTTGTTTGTTTCTCTGAGCTACTAAGCCAATCAAAAAGATTAAATTAATACCCATGTGAAAAAAGCAAATTTCTGGGTTTCTCACTCCCCATAATTAACAAAACTAAGAAAAACATGAGATGTGAGTAGAGAAATTATGGGTTACTAAAAATGACTTTTTGAATGATGATGATAATTTTCAGCGCTAGATTATATATTTAGCGATATAAGCACGTACTTAGACTATTAATGTAGAAGGTATAGAGCACCATTTTCTGGTTGCAAAAATTCTAAAGTGTTCCTACTGTTTTCTTTCGTTCTCTGTTTTTTGTTCAAATTTAATGAGGGTGAAACTGGGGTCTTGTTCTTGGCCGAAGTTTAGAACATGAATTGGCCTTTATCAAGCGTTGCATTCTTGAAATCAAACTTTAATAAGATTATCCTTTCATCTGGGTATATATCGGGAGTTAGAGAATTGTTGCAAATTACAGAGAATGCTTACGTACTTTTAGAACGATTTTGGTGTCGTTTAATTAGTATTTCAAATGTGAAGAGTATTTTTTTAAATGCTCTGTATCTCAGCCTCTTATGTGTGTGTGTGTGTGTGTGTGTGTGGGTGGGGGGGGCGGTTATAAGCCTTCATCGTAATTTTTATTATAGACGGAGTCTTTCCTTAAAATTTCGAGGAGTAATATTTCCATTCTTCTTTCATTACTTTCCAAAGTTCTTTAATCGTAGTGAAAGAAAAGAAAAAATAAAAAAAATAAAAGAAAGAAAGAAAAAAGGATGAGGAAAAAAGAAAGAAAAAGAAAGAAGCTTAGAAAGAGCTCTTTTCAAGACACCAAAGCCACAATTTTCCTTAGATGAAACGTGAGGAGCATTCGCACGAATGCGTTGAAAAGGTAAATATGCAATACCTGTATCAGTCTTCATTTTTTCAAGGAAAGCAGTGGCACTTTTAGAAGTATGATTTGTTGCTTTTTTTCCATGAAGTTTTACACTTTGAAAGTCATTGGGATAAATAAATGGAATTTCTTCGGTATATATCATACGTAAAACTTTCTTTTGATATTACACTGATTTTAATATTTCTTCCACTGTTCTTATTTTTAATCTTCCATTGTAAGATCCTTTACTGAGAAACATAAGCCCCTTTTTGAAAATTTCTTTACCCTGTAGGGATTTATATTTATTTTAACTAATAATTTAAAGTTTTATTTGAAACTTTCCTATAAACCTTCATTCCCCTAACTGCCAGTGCCAAAATAGTTAAATGTTATAACGCGCGTGAACACATGCAAATTTTATATGAAGAAAGTAGTTAAAAGCCGAGTTTCGATAGGAGAAAGGAAGAGTTGGGCTGCCGTCTCTGCCGTAGGTAAGTTTTTTCATTGCTCGTACAAGTGGCTTAATTTGCAACATTTGAACTTTTTAATTTTCAGTTATTCGACTTTCAGTTACCGCCCAAGTAGATGCGAAATTTGTGAGCGTCGAGTTGACGCATTGTAAATTTTAAAGAGTTAATAAAGGGTTTGAACCCTTCTTCAGTGTAGTTTCCTGCTACTCCAATATACAGAAAGAAGTTAAAGCACCTGGACTCTACCAACCCCATTGATGGAACCAGGTTTGTGCATTTTTTTTCTCTTCATTTTTGATAACAAATATACCATTTTCTGCTGTAGTATTTAGGTAAACCCATGCTTCATCAAGAGTCGCAAAGTATTCCCATTTATCTCCTAAATAGTTTTCATATAGGGTTTTGAAAATTGTTCAGTATTGAGCCTTGCCAAAAGCTAGCAAACATTATGGTTTTCAGCTTTTTTAAGTTATAAATCTTGGTATATTATCTTATTTTTAGTGCTACAGATGTATTTAAAGACTTTGCAATTCCTTTCTGTTTCAGTGATTTTTCTTATTACCAACGATTTATATTTAGAAATAGTACGCACGGAATTTCTTTCGTACAGAAATAATGATAGACGGATTTTCCCTTTCCCATGAATAATGTTATTCATTTTGTACTGAGAAATTTTAATACCATGCATTTTACATTCTTTTTGAATTACAGAATAGAAATATTTCTCTTCGGAAAGAGCAAAAGTTGAATCTTCGGATTATGGTAACTTGGCAATTTTTTGGCGAAAATTTGGCGACCAACCCTGCTGCAACCTGCTAGTTTTTTTTTTAGGGGGGGGAAGCCATTTTGTTTTAACGAAGTA